GTTGATCATGCCAGCCCCCAGGGTGGTCATGGCATAAGCCAGTGCTGCAGGGTTCACCCCAAAGCTCACCAGGTATCGGGCCCCAGTCAGTCTTCCAGGATGCACACCTGAGGTGGCTTTCTCCTCCAAGGCCATGGCAGCTCTGACAGGTTACCTGTCGGTCTGAGCAGCTGCAGCAACAACAGGCGACAAGTGCAATTCCTATTTGGCGCTGCTGCTCTGGTTGCTCAGCATCGCAGATAATTACTGCAAATGTAGGGAACAGGTCGATATTCCAGAGGAGGAAAAAGCTTTCAGTACTGAGACGGGTTCAGTTCCAGCTGTCTCACATTCACAAATTCAAATATCTGTTCTGGTGTCTTGTCAAACTCGAATTCTGTGCCTGCGATGGGGGCGGGGCTTAAAGATAAATAACAAACATCTGATTGGCCAGAAGAGTTCATCGCTTCAATTTAATTGGTCGACGCCTGTCATGAAAGCAGGAAGTTTTTCGACTTTTTTTTATTTTTTAAATATTTAATTAGAAGTCGCTTCAGTTGACTTTATTTTACTCTGAGTGACGGTAAATGTTAGTTTAATGACGCAGAGAGTTTTTATGGTGACTTTAACTCATAAGTGAGCGGTTCTCCGACATCGTATTTCTGCCTCCTACCGGATGCGGGGCTGTAGTAGAGATTTGCCACGTTGCTGTAGACAACAGCCTTAAAGCGTCTCACGCCGGCAGGATGTAGTTTGTACACTCACACCTGAAGCTGCTGCACTGAACACACCGGTGCGTCGGGCTCTGACAATGTTGACCGACGTCATTCTGGAGGAAGAGTTTGAGAAGAATGGGCAGAACTGGTTCGACCAGCAGGACCTGGAACACGGTAGGAGCTGCTCAGCTGGGTGGTCGCACCCTGAGCTGTGGGGAGACTCCAGCTGATCATCTGCTGACTTACAGCAGCTCTGCTTTTAACGAGTAAAACTCAGAGTAGTGCAGTTGCTCTTCAGTTTGTTCTAAGCTAAGATCAACTTTATGGATCCCTCACAGGGGAAATGTGCATGTTACAGCAGCTGGAGGAGGAAAAAGGACAAGAATTAGAAAAATACAATAAGAATAAAAACACACACAAAAAAAATAGACATTAAAATTTTAATAAAGACTATGTCCAAAGCCTGATAAATGTACATATGTGCAGATATGACATGATGGATAATTTCTATTATTGCAGAACACTAAGAAAAGACTGACATGATGTTATTGCACATGAGAACAGTTCTATTTTGCTTTAGATCTGGAACAGCGGTCTGTAAAGAGACAACTCAGTTTTCTTTTTCATTTTGTTGTTAAGTTATATGGAGATAAAGTGTTTTGTGATGTTTTAGCACCTAACGAGTTATAGGAAGAAAAACACGTTTTAAAAAATGTTATTGCATTGGAGGAGCTAAAAAAGGAAAACAGAAGGAGCCTCTACGCTGGTGACATGACACACGCCCTGACAACAGACTGAGTGAATCTGAAGACTATGCTGATTATTGTGAGGACACACAATCACACTGATCATGGGCTAAATTGTGAAATATCCTGAGAGCTTTCCTGAGGCTGTCCCAGCTCCTGTGTTCATTGTTGTCGCTGTTTGTCGTTAAGCTCGTTTGTGCTGCTAAGTCCACAGAGGAGGATTAGAAATAGGCAGATATGTATAGATAGACTCCTTTGTTCATGCTCAAGTTAAAAAGCAGCTAAAGCAAGGCACGTAAATCACCACACAAATAAAGTACGTAAGAAGCAAAAACGTCTCTCAGTCATACGTAGGATGAAGTGTACGCAATGTGCTGCAGTTTAAAATAAAGTTCAAATGCATGATATATGTTGTTATACACTTACAAGCAGGGGTGTGGCACAACACACAGCTGTGGAATAACTGCAGACACACACGCTGTGGGCTGATGTTTGTCTCATGTGTCTGAACAGGGCAAGAAAACTGATCAGTTTTCAATTTACTAATCAATTGATTAGCACAAAAAGAGTCTGCTTTATTTTAATCATTTTAAAACTCCTTTAAGCAACAATGAGAACCATTTTCTGGCTCACCGTTCTTACATGCGAGTATTTTTATGACTGTTTTAGTTTAAAGAAAAGAATTATTACTGGAAAGATTAATGTGTTGCTGTAACAAGCTGTCGGAGCTTCACCAGCAGACCTGGTTTGATAAACAGAGCGAAGCCAGGAATGACTTCCTGTCGCATTCCTCAGTGGAGCTGAAAAAAACTAGAAGCACGCAGCTGTCAGACAAGTGGGTTTAGGAAGTGATGTGAGGTATTTTCCCCTCCGGATAACAGTTTCTGAGCCATGGTTCTCTCCTTCGCCTCCACAGTAGGACACAGGTTGTTATTCAGCCGCTGCCTGTTGGTCAGATTGCACACTGTTGGGTTTACTTGGTTTTTACTCACTGCACTTCGTAGTTCCTTGTAAGACCTGCTTCACTTCAAGTAGTGATTTTAGCCGAGGGGAAAAGGGTCACGAGGCGTGCCTTAGATTCCTCTGTGATTCACCAGTGCCAAATGCTGAACGTGTGAGACAGTCAGCTGTGTGTTGGTGTGAGAGCGGCACTGATGCGAGTCTGTGTTTACATGTTTTACACATATCTGCTTCTATCAGTTGCCTGTGTTTGGGCATTGCAGCTGCCCCATGTCTTGCGTTTACATGTTTTACTTTGCTCTGGGCAGATCTCCATCTGGCAGCGGAGCTGGGGAAAACCCTCCTCGACAGGAACCATGACCTGGAGCAGGCCCTGCAGCAGATGTACTCCACCAACGAGGACCAGCTGCAGGAGATCGAGGTGATAAATGTTAGGAGGGAACTGAGCAGAGTTCTTCTGGCTCCAGCGGTAATAAACTCGTTTTAGTGTTGGCCTGTCTGGTCGGTACGCCCTCCGCTGCCCACAGTCCCACCTGTGGATGCTTCGGTGTGAAGGAGTCTGGATTAGAAACACAGAAAGTCCACGCTGAGAGATCTGAAAAGCTGCTTCACTGGAAAGAAAGTTTCATCGTGACTTTCTCTCAATGGAAAACAGGAAGGCGTAAAATCTAATCCTGACCAGTTTGACCCACTGATCCTTTGGCACAGTCCATCCTCCTGGCACACTTCTTTATCTAATGATGGGAAAACGTTCCCCAGATTATTTGCCACCGTTTCACTTGGGCGTTGTTCCAGAGTCTCCTTGTTTGTTTTTGATTACCTTAATACAGCAGAGGATATATTTTGGTTTATTTGCAGGTTTTCAGGTTAAGCTTGCAAATACGCACAATTAGGCTTTCTGTGTCGGTGCCAAGACATTTTGGCGACTGTGCTGATCTGTTTGAGTTGGAGGACACGACACTCAGCAGGTCAGCACACATAAGAGCCTTAATTTGTTTACAGCAGTGAGATGGCTGTAGCTGGAGGATTTATTGAGGGTGATATGGTAATCCCAATACATCTCTCTGACCCACATCTTTGTGCAGTGGTTCACCTGAGTGTGATGCAGTCCACAGAAACGGCCGGTTTCATTTAGAGAAACCTGATCCAGTTGATGCAATGAGTTCAGTGCAACAAGTCAAACTGAGGCTGAGTTGAAGGCGGTGAGTTTGAAATAAATGGACCTGTTTACCAGGTTGTAGCAGACAATTTCGGTTCCTTCCCACTGTTGCGGACTGCTGAAGCTTATAGGGAATCCAAATGTTTTGGATTGTTGGGTGTTTCTGTTTCTGCCTTTGTGAAGCGCTATGAGATGACTGTTGTTGTAAATATGCGCTATACAAATAAAATTGAATTGAATTGAATTGAATTAATACATTCTTGTCCACTGTGCAAATACAAGCAGCAGCCTCATGCTATCGTTCCCTGCCACAGTGTAGAGTCCTTGTCCAGGGCCTCAGCTGGCAGCTCCCTCTGACGAAGCCTGTTAAAATGCATCGGTCAGGGTTATTATTTCTCCTTAGTTTTTATCCTGCAGTTGCTCTTAAGATCCTAAAAACCCTCACGTGTGGTTTGATGTTGCTGCTCTGCATTTTGATCTTTCAAGCATGTGTTTGATATTAAAATACAATTAAGTTTTATACTAGTCGAGGCATCTCTAAACTCATGGGTAGGGCAACAACCAGTTATTAATTTTGTAGGTTAATCTGATGATTGTTTTTTTTTTTTTTACTGCTTATATCAGAATGAAATCTTCATCACGTCCCTCTCTTGTGCACCAGTACTTGACCAAACAGGTGGACCTGCTGCGTCAGATGAACGACCAGCATGCCAAAGTGTACGAGCAGCTGGACGTGGCCGCCAGGGATCTGGAGCAAAGCAACCGGAGACTAGTGCAGGACAGCCGCCTGGCCCAGCAGAAGATCCACAGGTCAGCGCACCAGCTGTGAATCTGTTCATTTTCCTTTAAAATGATGTTTCACATAATTCTCCACTCAGGCTGAATGTTCAAAGACAGGACCGTGTTCCCCTTTAGTCTTACAGAAACCATCGATGGGCTTCAGAGCCACATGGAGGAGCTGCAGATCCAGGTGGAGGAGCTAAAGACTGCCCAGGCAGAGCGAAACAAGAGAGATCTGGCCGAGCAGCGACGCAACCTCGGAGCACAGAGCGTGTCCTGCCTCAAGGAGCTGTACGACCTGCAGCATGACAGGTAGTGCTTCACCACTCACATCCTGCTGGAAGAACTTCAGGATGTGACAGAGGCGCTATTTTCAGACAGGAAGTTGTGTGTTAGACTGCAGATAGGAAGACACACTGAGATACCTTCTAAAGTTTTAACATTCACCGTTCAGCATCGTTGTTTTTCACTGAAGTAAAATGAGGATGAGCCAACACACACATGAGGGCAGCTGGAAGCATCTTAACACCGAGAGCTTCGGTCTGTTTTCTGCTTCCTACCCACCCTCGTGTACTGACGACGTCTGCAGGTCACCCAAACCCAGACGGGACCAGAGCGCTTACTTTAGACATAATCCACAGACGACGGCTGTTAATCCTTCCCTATTGTCAGCAGCGCGCCAGTGCAGACACACAAATGCTGCTTTGGTTCGCTGGATTTCGTGTCGCTTATTTGACGTGTTGTGGGGAAAATTGTTACCCTAAGATCTTACACAACACATCTGTGATCCCACTGGCCCCCTTCAAACAAAATGCATCAACAATATCAAGTGGAACGTGTGCAGTGTAGAACAAAACAATGCATTTAGCAGGAAAGGTGTGAAATGTGATCATTTTTATGTATACAGAAATGAGACGTGTAGGTGTGCGGAGAAACAATGACAGGTCGTGAGAATATCAAAGGTAATAAAATGCTGTTTGAATGCTTTAACACTATAGTCCAGACCTTTGCTCCACGATAATGTCGCTTTTTCATATTTTCTACCAAGAGCGTCGTCTTTACAGGAGTTATCTTCAGTCTTTTTAGGACACATTATGGCTGGAATAAAAACAGATTATGAGCTTTCTTTAGCATTGCTTTGGGGAGGCATGTGGACTCATGTGGGGAGAGAGAGCAGGAGAAGCAGTAAAGGTCCAGCTGGCCACAAAACAACTCACAGCTGACAGGATGATGTCGGATCGGCCCAGAAGACTTCTATTTACCTGAAAAAATGCAGAGGAGGCAAAGTACTTTCTGTAGTGTCTGCCTCTCAGACTGCGCAGGGACCCAATAACCTCCAAAAAGAAGGCTGGGCAATAAAAATCCTCAAAGTAGTCCCTGCTGCTAGAGAAGCTTAAGTGCTGCAAGTCCACAGTAATAATTTAGCTCAGAGCTTTTTCTAAAAAAAAAAAAAAAAAGATTTAGAGGACACTGTTTCTAGAGGTTCTATAAGTGAAATTAAAAGTTTGTCAGATATCTGAATCAGAAACAGTTTTGTAGTCAAGGAGGTTTCACATACGAAGAATGCGACTCAGTGTTTTAGTGCAGAACAGGAGACACCAACACCACACAACCTACAGGAGCTCATGGAATGAAGGGATTACAAGTCATCAATAAATAATATGTCGTTACTGTTATTATAAGATCTCAGTGTGAGGAAATGATTCACTGAACAAATGTTCCTGCTTCAGGTATCCAGCCCACGATAACCAGCGCTTCGACGGACTCTGGTCGCCTCAGAGCTCCTTCTGTGACACAGACAGAAATCCGGACCCCGAGCAGGAGAACCAGGCCCTGCAGCGCTCCGTCCAGACCCTCCAGGGCCAGATCGCCGTGGAGCGGAGCCGCAGGGAGGCTGCCGAGCAGGAGATCGAGCTGACCGCCACAGAGAACAGGAGTCTGGAGCAGCGTCTGGCCCTGCTGGTGGGCTGCCGGGTCAGGCAGCATGAGCTGGAGGCCGAGGTGGAGCAGCTGAGGCTTCTGTGGCGCGCTGACTGTGCTAACAGGTGACTGATGGGTGGACTAGATTCTGATGTGCACTCAGTGAAAGAACATTTGATTTACAGCACAAGTGTGTAGCCTGTCACATGCTCATGTGTCTGTTCAACTCTGCTCTCACCAGCGTCAGAAGACCGGAGCAGCTCCTGGTGCCCGACACGGTGTTCTTTGGCTCTGAGGAAAGGTCCGGCCCAGGGCAGAGTGAGGCGGAGGAGAACGTAGAAAAGGTGGAGAATCAGAGCAGATCCAGCCGACAGAGGTGTAACAGCGACAGCGTTCTGAAAGCAACGAACCCAGATGAGATTCGCCGCGGTCACGAGCTGCTGTGCGTCAGGCGAGCGGAGGCGGTGAAGCAGAGGGGCATCTCTCTGCTCAACGAGGTGGACGCTCAGTACAGCGCGCTGCAGGTGGCGTGTTCCACACACACGTACTCATGATTGACACAAAGCGTTCCAGTGTTCCTCTTTGTCAGGTGGAAGGTTTGTTGCAGAATGTGAACCATGTCAGAGTTGTAAGAGGAATGCTTGTGTGCTGTCCAGGTGAAATACGATGAGCTGCTGCAGCGGTGCCAGCAGGCAGCAGACGGACTCAGCCATAAAGCCGTCCAGACGTCCAGCAGCACCTCTGCGAGCAGCCGGACCCGCCGCCGCCTGTCCAGCTCAGCTGCCCTGTCGGACCTGCCAGCGGTTTTGGAGGACGGCCAGCAGCCGGAGTACAAGACTCTCTTCAAGGAGATCTTCACCTGCATCCAAAGGACCAAAGAGGACCTGAGCGAGAACAGACATCCAGTCAGGGATTCCCAGAGTTCTGCCAAATGATTGCTCTTCATCATCCTGGGACTTGATCTGTGAAAGGCTTGATTAAGTCGAAAGTTTGAGGTTGCTTTGCTATAAAACTATTCAGAGGGCGTAGATGCTCTGAGAACGTTTGAGCTTCTTAGACACGCTGTGTTTGCTTCTGTCAGTCTGCACTGTTGCTTTTATTCCGTCCTCGTTATATTAAGCACCTTTTATGATATTTGATGCATTCCAGAAAGCTACAGATGACTAAAGAGTATTCTACCTGGAAATAATTTCACTGAAATTTAAAAAAAAACAACAACATTTGAGCAGCTTGACCTCCAGATCCACCAGTATTACGTCCTGCCTCCGTGCTTGTGTAACGTTCACCCTGTGATTATTGGCTGTCGGGGCTACGCGGGGTTTTGTCTGTGAGCTGGAGAACAGCTGATGATGTTTGAAAATGGGTTGTGTAATCAGAAATGTTGGAATGTTGTAAGAGGATGAAGAACCGTAGTGGCGTAATCGGGAAGGACTCAGGAGTTTAAGATAATTAGCTTAACAGTTGGTGTAGGTTTGGTTTCGAGGGTCTTCGGCACGTCGATGTAAGTGGACACTGGAGAACCAACAGCTTCATGCACGCTGGCAGGACACACTTTATACACCTGAATCACGTTTTATTTATTTATTAACAGATATTTAGAGACTATTTATTTTCTTTATTGCCAGTTTTTTTTGTTTGTTTGTTTGTTTAGAGCAGATTTGACTGGAGGTAAAAGTACATGTACACTGGGGTGTTTGTTCTGTAGTTGTATATATTATTTCTGACTAGTGGAAAGCACAAAAGAAATGTTGCGCTTCAGTAAACGGTCTCCTCTACCATCACCTGTTGTAATATTTCTCCTGATTCGGCCGTCTTCTGCTATGTTATGGTGACATGGAACAGAAACTGCATGAACCTGTAGAACTGATGTGAGGCTGTTGTTGGAGCTCGGAGTCAGACTGTATGCAGGAACGATGGAAAACGTCCAGGAGCTCAGCTGTTATTGTCTGAACTCCAAACAGTGTTCTGTGGGTGTCGTCTGACTGTCGCTGTCTGTGCTACACGGTGCTCGTCAGACAGAAGATGAACAATGCTGATGTATTAAAATACACTTTAGTTTGTTTTCAACTGGTGCAGAAGGCACGTTTCACTGGAAACTAACCAGTAAAAGCATTGATTCGGGAGCTGTTTCTCTGTGTCCTAATGTCTGCACACCAAACCACGCATGGGATGGCGTTACTGCACATTTGTACGGGTGCAGAGATGTTTGGGCTTCCTCTCCTTTTGG